TATAACTCAGTCAGAACTTCCCGCTCGCCGAGATATATGCACTTAAGCACCATATTCAAACTGTGACCATCCATTACACACTCTATGTGCCCTCTACAACTAACCCCTGTCTCGCTTCCCATCTCGTGCCTTCCACAAGGCCCAATCGACTCGTGTCCTCCCCATTACCAAACGGGTTAGCCTGCTCCTATGACAGAAAAAAATGCCCATGCTATCCAACCACCACGGATCACGAACAAGATCACAAACATGTTATACTACACTACCTAATATGCCCAACTCACATCTACCTCTACCGGATCCGACACGCTGTAATAGAGCATCACTACTATATATACTCAAAAATCGGAACTCACGCCCCCATAACCTAATCATATCTATAATGAACGTTCACCCTCGGGCGCCCTTTAACACGCCACCACACCTATAACCAAACACGCACACATACCTGCCCCACGCAAGGAAAGGAACGAAACCAAAGATTCTGTCAGTAGAGCGAGGGAAGCCGGACTGCGAGCGCTATCCGCAGTAGGATGAAGATGATGAGGATGATGATGGTGCTGCTGCTGCTGCGGCTGGTGTTGATGAGGAGGAGTATGCAATGTCCTACGTATTTTTCCAACCCAATAGGCAGAGCCCTAGGGCTTCTTGAGAGGTCACACACCCTCAGTCTCCCAGACTCGAAGTCAGGTGCAGAAACTGGAGCGGCATCCATTTATGTAACACCGGCTCGTTGCTAAGATCCTGAGACAATCGCTTTGATTGTGGACCCTAATATATTTCAGCTACGTTTTACATCTGCCAGTACGCATTCCCAAAACATGTCGACCCTTCTACTGCATGAAACACGATTGATATGCAAACTTTTGAAAGTTACTAGGTTTCCTTTTTCTTCTTACATGCTTCGCTTGCATTCCACTCGAATCCCCTTATTAACCTTTCACCTGTAATCCCCGGTAGCTGCAGTGCCACTGGAATGCTAACATCTGCGAGTATATACCCAAAGCACCCATTACGAACATCCCTGTATTTGTCCACGTTACTGTCTCTCTGGCTATATTCTACATTTATGCCCTTAGATAGTAAGTCAGCAATCTTCACCTGCCTGCGCATTGGCCACGCTGAGTGTCGACCTGGACTGCATATACTAACTTAAGATCAGCGTCTGCCTTGCTTTTAATGGACTTCTTGCAATTGCTTGTCCCCTCCCTACCGGTTTCACGCATCTGGAAGCACTGATGCAGTGACTACAAATAAAGATAGAGTGGGCATCGCTCCAAGGTTCAAAGCTACGTCGGTTGATTTGTTTCCAGTCTGTGTACCGTCTGCTGCACGGTATAAACTAAGGTTTGCGTTCGAAGAAGTGCTGGACGCTTTTTGTGACAATCATTTCGCTCCGCGATTCAGTGGTTTAGGGTAGATGTTTCGGCCGACATCCCAGAAACACCTGTATTCGAATGTCCACTATCTCTACCTAATCTAATCGAACAGTTAGAAGCGGGTTGTGAAGCGCAGGGTGATTTCGCTTGGGCAACACCCAATCTTCATCGAATTCAATAGTTCCGGTCCCAGTGATTGAATTGGTCAGGCTTCACTACAGTAGAAATCGGGGTCCACATTGAGATTGCACGTCGCAACCCGTTATCATAACGCGTGCTTCACAACGACTTCTCCAATCCGTTTGTCCATTGTTTTCCTATGACCATACTGGCTGCAGGATGCCTCTTATAAGCATACTGACGCACAACCTAGTAATCTAACCATATCAGCTATCATTCATTTGTATCCATCATGCCCCCGACTTCCTCGGTAAGGAAATTACGTTTTTCAGTGTCGCTTAAATAAGATCGTGTTTCAGCCAACTTGGGTCTACGGCCGCATGTGAGCAGAATGGTTGTGGCCAAACACTTACGCACCCCGCGCTCCACTCTCGGACACGCTGCTTGGGGTGCGCACAGACCAAACACGCTCTGGGTGTTTGTTGAATTCACCAATTATTGGCTTCGCCGAAGTTAGTTCAATGCAAGCTAGGATGTGCACGCTTGATACGGTCCAGTTCTATGGATGCAAAGAGATGGCGATCACATTCACTCGTGGGTGGGCGGCACTTTATGACTCTACTCTTCCAAATAGGAGGTACATATATTTTGGGCACGCTATCATTGGACAGCCTTTGCAGCAAAGAAAACGTACGCTCATTGTTTGTGGCCGAACTGCCTTTCACTTGCGACTGCGTGCAGAACGCTGTCGGCTGAATGCAGCTCTCCCCCGCCCCAACGTACACACTTTGATTCGCGTGTCCGTTCGTACGATGCTGCCATGGCGAAGACCATAAGGAGACTGCTGACTGGCGCTTTTGAGACTGGTTTCACGATGTCACTATTTTGAATATACCAAACGTTATTCGCGGCCGGTGGTGGTAAGGATCCCCAGCCTCCCTTGTAATTCGGTGGTCCCTAGTTGGAGTCTGGGTTGGGGACCGGCCTACCCTCGCGGTATCATTAACCCATGAGCGAATAGTGGCGGTTGTGAGGCAGCGAAGCATCGGTAGGGCGTACCGTAGATGCAACTTTTAATGTGAGCTAAGCTAATCGCAGTATCTCCGTGCTGATCGGCTTAAGGTACCGCGGAGTTAGCGTTCGCTGATCTGTACGGATTGCATGCAGCGGAAAATTTATTGATTTCGCTACCTGCACACCATGGACTGTTACAACGCACACGCAAAGGTACGCACCAACTACTTGTGTACACCCTTCTCGGTAGTGTTATGGTAATTGTCACCATCGTCTTGCATGTTTGACCTCCGGTAACATCCAGTGGTTGTCGTCACAAAATGGCTCACCGGAGGACACCGGTCGCTTTATCAACATTTCCCATGACCTCCGTTCTCTAGTAAAGGCACGTATTCCAAAAGAAGACCCACTCCTTACCAAGTGCATTAGGTTGTCCAACACAGGATTCAGGGAAACAATGACTCGGTAGTCTCACAGGCATGTGTTTCTGCGGCGGATTGCACGGGATTTCCTATCCGTCGGTTAACACGCGGTGCGCCAGTGCAGCCAGCACTGCAAATGCCATTGTGGGGGACACGACTTCTCACCATCCATGAGATTCCCTTTGCAACAAAAAGTAGAAATAAACTTATAGAAGTTTCTTGGGCACCATTACCGACTGAACGCCATGGTGCATAGCCAGTTAAAGATCTGATTGCAACAGGTGACTCCGCTATGCTCTGAAATGTAGACACCAAACAAACAACTATATCAGTGATAGTGAAATAGTTTACAGAGGCATGTGTGTCACCAACACATTCTTACATGCTACACCATTTGTTTACAAGTGTGATGCGTCATGCAGGGTCGAGCTTAGGATAGTATTCTGATGACCATGATATTACTGCTTCAGTCTAGTGGTCTGGGTCGTCTTAAAATCTTTCATCATAGTCATCTGCGGAACATTGCTCATGTCTATGGCACCAGCACGTTCGCAACAATGGTGTACACAGGCTAGTACTTGGCGGTGGTAATCAGGTTAATCTCTTAAGGCGACAAATAACCTTACTTACATTGTGCTGCACGCGCGCTGCACACGTGTAGGAGGCTTTAAATCGGCCGTCGCCTTTTTCGCCAAACATCATTTTTTGCATTATCTACCTTAGATATATTAGCGTTGCAAGAATAAGCTGACCTATATTTTCTTCAATCAACTTCCAAGGTCACTGCGACCAATCTACTCTATCCACTTTTTGAACCTAAACGCTGAGCTATCGCGTACGATCACGATCTACTGCATTTGGACACAAAAACTTACGTCAAATAAAACGAATTATAAAGAAACGTTGTACTGAAACCTTTTCCCTTCTGAATGGATGCAAATCCCGAAGGTATATTTCTGCGTCATGGAATCGTTGCGCGGTAGAGGTATCACAGTTCACCCCTCTTATTGTTCTACCCATTTGTATAGTTAGCATTTTTGTTAGTAACTATCTGATACATTTAGTGTTGCTGATGTAAAATGTTGAAAAGCCACACATTTGTGTACTGAAAGGTTACAATGACTGGCTGACTGACTGACCTATCCACTACGCACTACTTAAGGGATTGTTTTTCACCGGATATAGGCTTGAGGCGGATAAAAGTTGATCTGAAAGTGAGAAAGGAAACCACTAACGATTGATCTGGGCGCTGATGTCTTCCTCCGGATGCTAACACCAGTTCCGTATCATCTGTCCCGTGGATGTTTCCAAATTTTGGAGGCCATGACTGGCAGCCGTTATCGGTATCGCGTCTACTGTCACTACTTAGTCGGACAGTCCGCTTAAAGTATGTGGAGTTGCGTTACACCTGGAACTAGGATGTATAGGATGGGGCAGGGAAAACCGCAAGAAACTTTCCCATCGGTGCCACATTCCTACAATAGCCAGCAGCTTTTGAGTGTTGTCGACAAGTTACCTAGAGCTTGAATGTTTATCTAAGACGTTGAGTTTTTGCACCAGACCCCCCTGCCTCCTTCTGAGGACTGTTCATCCCATAGGCCATTCTAATTGTATTTCAGATAACCAAAGTTCAGTCGCATTGTTGTTGTTGTTGCGGTTGTTGTTGTTGTTGTTGATGATGATGATGATGATGCTGTTGGTGATGATTTCCTGGATTCAGGTAACGGAATCGGTGCTTTCTGATTGCGATCCTTGGATATGAGCACCGAAAGCTACCTATTCTCTATCCATACCCTAGTGCTTCTCATTCCACATGTTATTATGGTCGTATTGCAGTAGGGCGTCTGTTCAAAGCACTGGTGTACTGCTGCTGATGTACCTGGCCAATATGATTTGAGTACCACCGTCATTACTGCGAGCACTTTTGTGGTTTCAGGTTGTAAATATACATTGTGCTTTTGCAATTTAAGCAGATACTGCATGAGTGCGTTTGTTGCTTCATTTTATTTGCTTTGGTGCTCAAAGTACCAACACTTTGGTAACATTTCCTTTTTCCATTTTAAAGGAGATCGGATGGTTTGATCGATCGGAAAATCAGGCTGGCGCGTTGACGGCTAAGCTGGCAACGGAGGCTTCCCAACTGAAGAATGTTTCCGGATCTCAACTGGGATCCATTATGGAAGCCATCGTACTTCTCATCACCACCATAATCATAGCCTTCGTGAATAGCTGGCAGTTAAGCTTGCTTTTCCTGGGATTGTTCCCCTTCCTAATAATATCCGGGATGGTTCAGGTGAGATTTTGATAACGCTACCGCCACATTTGTCGAATATGTTCTCCGTTAAATATGAGTGATACTCAGCGGCAATTCGTCTGCTTGCGGTAAACATTGGTGTATGCTTTGGATTCTTTTCACTAATGGCCAAGAGGAGCGTTGGACTATTAACTTCAAAAATCTGAGTCCCGCTCATGCTTCACATTGTCGCTGACGAGTAAAGTATCAGATTATGCCTATGTGATTGCCGGACGAGCTTTAATTGGCAATTGGTTTTATTTAGTTTCCATCCATTGTGTTCTTATGCTGCTTAATATAACTGGTACAGTGGGAACATTAAACATTTCCGAGTCAGCAGCATCCATAACGGAATCAAAACACTCCACTAGGAAATCATGTTCTTCCGTAAGGGTATTCCACTTAGTTTTTGTAGTCTCATGAGCAGCTGCAAGGGAATTTAAGAAAACGGATAACTAAACAAAAACAGTATTACGACGGCGGGACCCGGGCACTAGCTGAGCTATCATAAAATGATGAATAGTGGATCCAACTAATCCAAAACCGGGGGTCATGGAACGTTGGAAGTAAGATGTAGTGATTGCAAAGGCCGTGGAATGATCTCATAATGTCAGTACTGGAGGGATGGTGATCAGAGGGAACCGAGTGCAGCGACGTGAAGTGGGGGTTTACCGAGTTTTCATCGATGCCGATGTGGCTGCTCCCATAAAAGAGAAAGATCTGATGGGATTGTATAAGCACAAGTACGATGCGGGTTTACATGGTGAAGCTGGTGGCTAGCCTGGAGCTGGCGAACAGAGCAGCTGATTTGAGGCGAACGCATATTTCACCTACGCGCCGGTTGGTTATGTTTTGGATACGCTAGAGCGGGTTTGTTTGAATGCATAGACAGCGTTATCTATGGAATTGACCCAGTCGTTTCTATCGAGGTTCCTACACGCTTGTAATGCTATCAATTTCGCCGAGCTTGCTTTGTCGAACGAACCGTTTGTTCCTGAAGTACCGTGTTTTGCTCAAAGTGGTACTTGGGATGCTGTACGTGGCCTTGCACACTTACCTGTCTATGTGGAATATTGTATGTGCTTGGTGTTTCATTGCACACTGTCATTAAAAAATGCGAATACTGCATACTGAGGATGGAGAGCGAGAAGATAAAGTTCTGTGTTGTTCCACCGTAGGTGGATCGAGCACACGCGCGAGATCACGTCGCTGCTTCCTGCGTGGTGGCAGCATATTGCACCTCACTACGTCTTATCTGGATGCGATACACTCCCTGTACCTGTAGTCAGCAAAGTGGAGGTCAAGGAATCACTTCACTTCCGACACCGATTTTGCCCCGACTATTGTGTTAGGCAACTTGTTTCAATATTCACCACTCGACGCTTGAAGCATAGAGGGTGAGCGATGTGCTTTAGATCCGGTACCACTAGTTTGTACCGGTGTCCGCGTGTGCTGCTTGGTGCGAGAACGTGTAGCAGCGGCTTCAACCTAGGGCAGTAGCCCAGGTGCAATATCCGGTGCGTCATCAAGTGACCAACGCCAAGCCGACGATATGACATGAAACACAGCCTACTTCTCCTACATCTGTATTCGTGCGAAATACCCCGTAAACTGGAGATGAGCCGAGTGGCTACATGCTAGACGTGTTCCAGTCTCTGCACCGGACTTATTGTGATCGGACAATAGGCGAGTGAGCCCTACTCAAGCATCCGTCTTATTATGGAAGCGAACAGACGGGTGGCAGTCTCCTCAGACCAAGTGCAGCAGCTGCGTCCACTTGCTCAATGCAGGCGTAGTCCGTTTACGTACACTCTGTTGTGTTGTTGACAGATTTCAGATCACAGCATGAGTCTATGCCTAGATCCTATACGGAACTGGTAGGATGCAGCGGGTAGCTGGTCAGGGTGTACGATCGCCCCTTATTACCCCTCCCCAGGCTCATAAACGAGGAGTTGGCCGTGTTGACAGGTAGGTCAACGTCTGTAGACCACCGGGGTAGACGGTCGATGTTCTTCTGATGGACGTCACAGTCGTCGGGAGAATCAATAATCCTCCAAAGCTTCAGGTCAGCCGCAAATATTGCGCAGGGCCACCGACAAAGCTGAGGTAGTTCCTCGATAAAGATCAGGAATAAAAGGAGCCCCAGTACTTTGCCATGAGGTACCTCGCTAGTGTACGGGTACCAGTACGTTATGTGATCATTCACCCGAACTCGCTATCTTCTCCCAATAACAAAGTCACTGATCCAGTGGTGCAGTGCGCCACCAATATCACGCATTCTCAGCCTGTGGAACAGTACCTCATGGTTCATTTTATCGAAAGCTATACTGAAATCAACGTAAATCACATCCACTGACTTCCCCCGGTTCAACGCCTGCAACCATTCCTGTCGCGTCACCAGCAGGTTGGTGATGCACGAGCGGCCCTTCATGAGGCGGTGCTGAGCCGGATTTAGGAGATCTTTTGACTCCAGCAGCTGGAAAAGACTCTTTATCACAATCTTCTCTAGTACCATCTTCAGAACCGAGGTTAGGCAAATAGGTCGGTAATTGTCTAGATTGCGTGGGTCATCACCTTTTGGAATCGGCTTCATTACCGAGCATTTCCAGTCGCTCGACAATGCACGCTCGGACAGCGGTCTGTTGAACGGATCCGTCAAGGCAGGCGAGATGATGATGGATAGAGTGTACAACCCATCAGGCCCATCATGCTTCGTTCTGCCATGTTTGCAGGGTAGTTGACGCACGTCTTCAATACCACAAACCAGACTCTCGAGCTTGTTATGCGCGGTACACGTCGAACCATGTAAAGGCACCAGGTATTTTGCAATAACGCAAACGATGTGGGTCAGCAACACGGACGCACGCTCAGTGCTGGAGGTTAGGTGCTGTCAATCAGAGTCTTAGCCCTGGTAGATCATCTGCATGTTTGTGGCGCCGCTTGACGTACGTAAAGATGTTTTGGAGCGTCTTTTGTGATGGCTGTGTGCTGGTGTTTGAATGGCTGGCGCTTGATCGCTTTGGTACCGGTTCAACTATTTCGCTGTCTCTTATACGCTCCGTAGTTGTTGGATTAGCTGGTGAGCAGGAATTGTCCCAACGTTTGCGCAACCGCCGAGCCATTTTGCCATGCCTATGTTCGCACCAATGTAGCTAGACTGGTCCAACTTGATGTAAATTTCGTGGTACAAATCGAGAACGCAACGAGGTCACTTTCTCTCTTTTAACAGTCCAACAGTCTTCCACAGATACAACTTGTGGTAGAGTCCAATCCACTTGGCTCGCGTATCTAGTTAGGCCGTCGAAATCAGTTTTCCAGTAGTTGTTAACTGATTCCAGCAGACAGAAATACGGTAATGTTAGATCCCTGAGCACTGAGTGGTAATTTACCGATAAGGGCTCCAAAATCGGACCGTCATACATATGCTTTTCACAGCCTGTTTGCATCAAGTCTAAACACAACGGGTTAGGGTGCGGCTTTCTGCGTGTAGGTTGACAAATGTGCTGGGCTGCTCGACTTTCAAGTACCAAGTCCACAAACTTTGCCTCAAACTCACAACTTCCGGGCATGAGTTGAACTTCAGGCTAGTGTACTCAGGGAGCGTTGAAATCCCGCATGAGTAGGAAATAGGGATCATCCATGTTGCTCGGACATGTGGCAGGCAATCCAAATAACTGTTCAGTGTACTGTGAGATACTTCACCTGAGGTAGATCGAACATCACAGCTGCATCGAAAGTTTCGTAGCTGCAAACCAAGCGCATCCAGTCGATACTCGAACTCTCCTACTGTGCGTGTCAGCACGTTTTCGGGTAGGGTCCTCCAAGTGGCAATTACTCTACCTGATGAACGGCTATCAGTCTCAAACCGATGAGATGGAGGCTTGTGCAGATTATTTGGATGACCACGGAGCATTGACAATCTGTGATTAGAAAAAAGAAAATTAAACTGGACCAAGTTGACCCGTCAAGAAACGATAGGTAAAGAGCAGGTCCCCCTACAGCGCCGATAGTGCCGGAAAAGTCGCATAATCTAAGCAGTCTCTCCGAATGGGATATACATCGCAACCCATACATCACCTTAACGCCGATTCTCAGGACGCGTTTCACTGACAGCTTGTCCTGGACTAACTAGGGAGGACCAGCTCGCACGAAGCATTCCAGGTCAAGTCTGATGACGGCTGTGTACAGTTCAATAAGGATTTCACATATAAGGGTTCCGACTTCGTGGCGAATCATCCCCGGCATCCTGAATCCAGCGCCGGCCACTTTGGTCCAGTTTCCATAAGACTTGAAATTCCATAACAGTGTGACATTCAAGTCAATCTGCTCCGTGATGCGCGGCACTACTTGTCCGCCTTAAAAGTAATTCATAAGTGGACCTCTGTTTCCAACGCGTAAAGTCAAACCCTTAGCGATATTTTTAGCAGATGCCATGAAAGGGAGCAGTCACAGTGCATGCTGTAGATCATGGGAGCCCTATTGATCACCTACCGTACCCTCAAAACTTAATGTAATCCGTAAACATGAGGGACGGCATACCTAGTTCGTTCGCATAGCCTTTCCGAGCTGTGTATACAGCAAAAAGGCACCAATGCGTGCAACTCGTTCGGGTGAGGTACCAATAAGACGTTATTATAAGATTTCACTCTAGCCTCAATCTCGTTTACAGACATGCGAACTAACCTTGAGTTATGCACTGCATTCCTGCTCTACCCACCACATTTAAGATAGCGCAATTGGCACTAGTAGAACCGGATGCTCCTGACATCAATTCCTTGGTACCTTCCGAAATGAACCGTCATCTTCCGGTCTTCCTGCGCAGATCTCGCTGCCATGAGAGATAAACTACGTATCCTTTGCAGTCATATATGTACATAGACGACTTATGTCCTTGTGCGAATGGGGCTTCTCTGGACAGAGGACATTAAGCCAAAGACGTAAATGGTTGTCACGTCCTTAACCGAACCATTATCAATATTCTTTCAAGGATGCGCTTACGAGATGCAGGTTTCCATAATGTGAAAGCCCGGAATAGTCACACCAAACAACAAGAGTATCAGCATTGTAAAGCCAATGAATCATCGGGCTATAGGACAACTTCCGATGATCTCAAGTGTCATGCAATCTAACGTCATTGAGGCAGTCATAGAGTGCCTGGAGAGGCACAGAATTCTTGGTCCGGAACATCACGGATTTCGCTAGAATCGGTCAGGCACTACGAACCTACTAACAGCCCGTGCAAACCGGTGGGTGTCTGTCAATTCCGTTTACATTCCCACGACACATTTGCTCGTCTGGATCATAAATTCTACCTCACGAGCTTCAGAATGATGGAATTGGTTATGCCGTTTGGGTGAATAGACAACGTTCTCATTCCACACCATCTGAAAGTGAAGGTTCGTATCACCTTAGCAGAACCAATCGAAGTCCAGTGCAGCGTATCACAAGACTCAGTACACGGACCACGCCTGTTCCTTATCAGAAGAAGTGATTTCGCCCGGGTACTTTCTTCAACTAGTTACTCTTCAATGACCTTCTAAAAATTATGTGCTATTGTTACTCGAAAGATTACACTGAACTGCAGGATTCTTTGGATAGCGCTTAAACCTGGTTAACTAAGCATGCTCCAGTTCAAAGAAAGGAAACAAAGTTTTGAGAATACAATAACAAAACACTCACAGCTACGGGTTCGGTTCACGTGACAGCAATTTTGACATTCTCTTGCAAGGAAGCCTATGCCGGAAGAGCATTAAAGGAATCAAACCACCACACCGGCCTCCTACGTAGGGCTTTTAAAAAGTTTGTGGTATCAGTATTTTTGCATGTGCTTGGCGCGTCCGTCAGCCCCATGTGGGGTGCGCTATACAAGCATGACAACCCTGGCAGAAGCACTACCTCACCGCGCTCAAGGATGCGCAACGCAGGACGACCAAGCTCCTCAAATGTTTGTCCCATTTTCCATACCCCCAGGCTGAAAACTATAAAACTGTACAATGAACGTTTCAGGCGTTTACGGAGCAATCTCATGATGGTGTATTTGATGCTAGGAAACACTAACCACTCTTGCTATCATCTTTAGAAACTCAGCCATAGCGCATTTCTGGGATCCATCAATTTTTGCTGGTCACGCAGTACAACCGGCTGAAATGACGACGAAACATTTCCTCCCCCCGAGTGTCACAGCCATCAAACTTCCTCTTTACGCTCGTAATAAATACCAACATCCTATCACTATTACAAATAAGCACCAGGGACAAATTTAAATAGTTTTATATAGCCCGTGCCTATTGTACGACGGCATTAACGCAGAATAAACAGTGAAATATATCAGACACTTCCTAGACTCCAGGCAGGAGTGCTTATATCTGTGCTAATGAAAACCTCATGTGTTCAGCAACATGCACCTTGTTTTCTCGACATATTTTCTTCTCGTAATCTTCAAGTTAACCAACCTGGATTCTGTCAAGAATCCGCTTTTACACCAGTTGCTTCCTTGGACGACTTCTTCTCCCGGTTGGTGTGCGTCAGCTACCCGCACTCAGGGAATCCTACCAATTGCGAACTGCGGCTTCTCTTATTGTATGTTTGCGACTTAAAACTGAGAGATGGATGACGTATCGGTGAATCGCGGCTGGTGACGAAATTTGCTCTTTAACTGGATTCAACTTAGTTTGCCGTTTAACAGAAATGGCCAGGTGTTTTCTTTGAGTAGAATACCTGAGAGTGACCCGCCTTGTAGTTCCTTGAAGACTCGGTTTCCTGGTGTTTAGGACAGTTTCACTCGAGCACTTATTGTGACTACAACACAGTTTCATTCTATCCATCAATTATAGGTGCGAAGTATGTCCGGCTCCCAGGCTACCGAAGTATCCGACGTTATGCGTGTGGCACAAGAAGCAATCAGCAATGACCGTACTGTATGCACTCTAAATTTGGAGGTACATTTTTACGAAAAGTTTCACCAGTCGATGAAAAGCAATTACAAGTACGTCTGACCTTTTGCTTAAAATGAATTAGCTAATCATACTAACTGATTAGAAGTACAAGAGACCCACAGAGAATAATTTTGAGAATGTTGACAAAGCTTCTGGTATCCTCTCAACAACTCAGAATCTATGAGCTTCATACATCAAAAGTGTCTCATTCATATGCACACCCCGTCCATCTTTATGCGAAGACGTCGACTGAATTTTAAACCACATTATTTTGCAAACCACTCTTTATTTTATGTTGTACCAAGTTTAACCTTCTTGGCTATTTGTTTCTCCATATGAATAATGACCTTATACTGGTTACTAAGCACTGCTTTATAAGTTCCGTGAGTTGGTCGATTGGAGTTAGCGAAAGCAGTTAATAAAAAAGGAGTTGGTACTTTTATCCTCGAAAGAGTGACTTTCCTTTGTAATACTATCGTCCTGCGTTCGCCGGCGTTCCACTGCACGATTCAGGGACAGATACTAAATCTAAATGATATCGTAAGATAGATAGTGCTAAGTAACACACTGTAATTGGCTGAATGCGTCATCCAAGCGATTGTTACATATGGCTAGTGTAGGTGCGGAAACGACCGATCCAGAGAGCATTCCACGGGTGGCGTACGCGAATAAAAAGGAAATTCCTGCTGCACACCAGACGGCCTTACTTTTCTGCCAGTTTCAGAAGTGATGTGTACTAATTGTGTTACTGCTGAGTTGCAGTACAGAGTGGCACACTGAGTTTGGATCTTGTAGAATACTCCTAAGCGTTTCAGTCTCTGCCCGTATGGGAGATTGTGCATTCCAGTGTCGTCATTGGAAGCCCCACTGTGGGGCAACTCCAGTGCAGTTAATACATTTCTTAAATCATCTAATTCATCATCGTCACTCCCAATCAATAGGCTTAGGCTAGTTTGGAAAAACAACAGACGCAGGCGTTTCGACCTTCTGGGTCTCGTCAGTAGTGCACCTCTCAGCGGACCCCAGCCGGGTTTCGCCTCCATGACTTCGGGATGAGAGCAGCTAGAGTCACTTCGCCATGGGTGACAGCCGCGGATCTGCCTGCTTAACAGGTGGCTATGATATAGCCCGGCTCATCTTCCACTGCCATGCCAGTTACGAACTGAGCAGTCGAGAGTGGCTAGCGTCACAAGCTCGGACTTTCATCATACCGCCTATATACGACATAGGACTTGAAAACTATACGGACAGACTTTCTATTACTGATGATGGTGGGCTATACATAGTCAACTGTCAATCAGGCAGGTCAGCTGCTGTCACCCATGGCTAAGTGGCACTAGCAGCTGGCGTCCCGAAGTCATGGGAGCGGAACCCGGCTGGGGTCCGCTGAGAGCAACACCACTGACGAGACCCAGAAGGTCGAGACGCCGACGTCTGGTGCTTTTCCAAACCAACCTAAGCCTGCTGATTGTGAGTAACGATGATGAATTAACCAATTATATCAAAATCTTACTACTACTCATCAGCACTACATATCTGTGGGTCTTAGGCTTGCACCGCGTATTTGACATGGGGAGGATGTACGAAATGAGAAACGGCCGGAATTTTTAGATGTCAGCACTCCGACGTGTTTGGTAGCAGTTTTCGACGCCTTTTCGGATGGTTTGGAGCGACCTAGGTCATGATGAACCAATATCCCAGATTCCGTTAGACAGAAGCTTCATGCAGTGGTGTCGAATAGAAACTACTACACATTTGTTTAATTTGAATTGCATAAATTTTTGGTTGACCGCTGATGTACCGTATCCAGGTTACAGTGCAGACGAGGCACGTTGGCATTTATCTGAATCCTGCGAAAAATCTGGATGTCGCTGGCAAATACCATGAACTTTGAATTTATTGCATGTGCAAAATCGTTAATCAATACTGCTACATATTCATAATTTTCATGACAGTGGAGGATGAGCCACGTCATATCACAGTTAGACATCATTCATGGCGGTCCCATGTCGTCACACACGGCTCAGTGGCGTGAGGTCGTGGGCTCGAATCCCGCAGGATTGGGCAGGTGCGCGCTACTGAGAAGTCCGCATATGACGAAACGGTGTCCATTGCTTTCCTGGCTGTGTGGTGTCCGTCTGCCTGAGTTTAGCTGCGGCGATTCCTCACAAAAATGCAATCATGTCTCTGGGACTTTGCCTTGATCACCCCACACTCGGCTTGTATGGAGTCATACAGAAAGCTCCGGACCCTGCCCACTAACTGCCGTTTACAAATAAATCTACCGATCCAGCTCATGGTAGGGTACTCGATGCCGTAAAATTGGAGCTTGGGAGGAAAATCCCATGTTGTAGACCAGGAATCACTAACGGTTTTTCACAGTGGGCCGGATAAACATCGAAATAACGAGCACTGGATGCATTAGATTTATGTGCAGTTCTAACAGACCAAAACAAACGTTGCGCAAAAATACCAAAACAGAAGTTGTGCATTTAATGTTGAACACAAGTGAGTGTCATACGACTTACCAAAAGTAAAAGCCATCAACATATTTCTTATGATTCATCATTATACTCCACGTCCAGAGGTGCAAAGCACCTCAGATACTGTGCCGAAACACATAAAAAAAGGAAAAATACTCGAATCAGATGAATGGCAGTTGAGCTACCAACCGGCTATTATGTAGCCAAAATAGTTTATGATGGAAACTGTATTATGCAAAGAAATGAACTTGTGGTTGGAGAGGGTGGCTAAGAAGGATGAGAAGGAACAAGAGACTCGCAGCACAAACGCCATTGTGGTCGGCAAGTGTATCCAGTCTAATTTGTTCATCGTCTTTCAGACCCTAACAAGAGAGCTGAGGCGATCCATCCGAGGCCAGCTTCGAAGTGACAGTTTTCATTCCACTCGACCAAATAAGCGCTTGGCCACCTCTTCTCTTCCATCCACACCCCCAGCGCGTAAACAACGCACGTCGCGGGAGCCGGTGGGCTGACATGCGTAACACGTGGCCGAGCCACCAGGTTTATTTCTTAACTGAAACGTTATCAGCACAGTTGATGTCAGCAAAATGATATTTATTTCAGACGTTATCTGCACACATCCGAATGGCACAAACTAGGTAGCACAAAAGATTCTTGAACTAGCAGTATGGCTTTCGAAATATCATTACTGTTGCATTTGGCATGGTGGTATCCAATCAACAGAGTTGCTTGTAAATGTTCCTCAGTCAGTCTCGTTCGATTAGTTGACTTCACATCTGTGTACCACGGGCGCTCTGCACCCTTTTTCGTCTCGAGCGTTGGCGCATATGGAACCTGCCTTAAGATGCCTGCTGCATCCTCCCCTTGTTTTTACACTTCTCTTGGACTTCATTGGCTCGAAGACTCCGGTTCTAAGTCATGACATGCCTAGTTCAGCAACAGCAACAACATCATCACCATCATTAGCGGCAGTACATAAGACACTTGAACTGTTGCTTCGCTGCCGTGCAACCATGGCGGCCTACTGAACAAAAAACAATAAGAGGGAACGAAGGAGAACCTAGCGTAAAACCTTAATGCCCTACGCAAATGTTCATGGTCAGGGTACCTACACCTTGTTAAAAACATGCCGTCACAAGCAGCGGGCAATCGTACAAAGATACCGCGGCATCGGCAAAACAGCTTCTGTGCGGCTTTCAATGCTATGGGGCACGATCAGCTAGTACTCTGCAGATAACTCAGCACAAAATACACTTTAAACCGGTAGTCCGACTAAGAGGCGGCAGCAGACTCAACTGGTGTCGACTGAGAGCCATGTCCTGTAAAGTCTCAAGTCGATCACAAGGTGAGTCAAGTGGACTCCAGCTTGGAAAACGAGACGGACCCATGGCACCGATTTTTGTCGTCCTTGACCTCATTTCCCGCTTCCAAGTTAACATTTGCCACACGGGGGGCTTGCGCGATCCTACATCTGACCAACAAAATAGGACCTTCCTCGGTAAGCGGTGACCGCACATACGTAGTTCATGCTCAAGACAACGCAAGTTATTCAGTGTTGTTCTAAGGAACTAGCTTACTTATCACTGCACATCATCGTTACGACCACGCTGGTGCCATCCGACGCCGGTAATGCTTCGAACATAGCGACAATCAAAGAATTGAAGGTGTCTCAGATTATCAGATCGAAGGCGTGAAGTTTCACTACCATAGAGTAGGACGGCTCTCAGTTTGGACTTGTAAACATGGCTTTTAAGACCCAGGGAAACCCCTTTCTGACGTCACGGATGTCGCAGATTCAAACAGTCGTTTGTACAGTGAGGCTTGCTTATGCTGTTTGAATCAATGACAAGCAGAGCCTCAAAAAAGCTACGACGCCCTGTGTCGTTTGTTTGTGAGTGAGACAAGTGCATTGCTTAGGTGCCGATTAATGTATTTTGGTAAATAATGTCAGGTAGCTACTCAGGATAAGGGAGTGTCATACGTTACCGAGCCTAAGGTTCGACGTATGAAAAAGCGGTATGTGCGGTCCCAATGTATGCGCAACACCGAGCATCGTTCAGACTATCGAAATGAAGGGGCCAAACATGGCTGGGCAGTGACAGTGCTTTTGCATGGACGTGTTCAAACAGACAGTGGTCATTTTTTCACGTGATTGAAGATGCAATAGGGAAAAGACCGTATACACAAGATGAGCCTGTGAAGTATTTCGGTGTTAAAATTCCGGTACAAGTGTGGGCCGGCTCCGTTGCTTATAGGTGGCCCATCATCATGTCTCCTGGTCTTATCCATTAGGGTTTGCACTGTATATGTGGTATGTGGATGGAGCTGTGGGTGGTGCAGCGCAAGCCACCTATGGTCCCTCGGTTAGCGCAGGCATCCTATGGCTGTCCTTTGGAAACCACCACGACTGGCAAATCCGGAACCGGATGCAGCCAACCATAATGCCAGTACTACTGGTAAGCCGGATGAACTAACGTAGAAGACCGGATCCGGCCCGTGAGTCAATGTTGGAAAAATCCATGTCAACCTCCTCCCTGGCGTCAAATGACTTGGTCTAACTCTCGGTG